ATAATTCTGGTATCGTATCCTTGGTACATAGGTTAATCGATTCAGTTTAACTATTATTTCAATATCTGAATCACTAGAATCACTTGATTCATATATACTATTCATTAACGTATTCACAGCCCATGTTATTATATTTTTATTATTGTCTACCGTTTCATTCATTGTAAAATAAATAATTCGAGAGTAACTTACAGAAACTTGTTGGAAACATACTGCTAGTGCGTTCCGTTTTCTCTTTTTGCAGTAATGAAAAAGTGCATAAAGTTAAAACGGAACGCTATTTACAGTACACTTCTGTGACGTCATACCACTAGTACTNGCAGTACATTTCGGAACGCAGCCATAGTGTTCCGCGTGACGTCATATCTTGTGACGTCAGAGCCACGCCCCCGCGTGACGTCATAGTGACGTCATTTTACGCGTGACGTCATATCCTGTGACGTCAGAGCCACGCCCCCTCGTGTGACGTCATAGTGACGTCATTTCGCGCGTGACGTCACATCCTGTGACGTCAGAGCCACGCCCCCGTGTGACGTCATAGTGACGTCATCCCCCGCGTGACGTCATATCATGTGACGTCATATCCTGTGACGTCCCCTGTGACGTCACACCGCGCGTCTCCCTCCCCTCCCCGCGTGACGTCATACCCCCTCCACCAGTGACGTCACCCCTCCCCCTGTGACGTCATACCCCGCACCCCTCTCGGAGCTCCTGAATTAGAACTCCCATATATACACTACTCTTGTATTTTAATGTTGGTGTTGGGGATTTGCCCGTGCCGTTCAATATGTGCAATAAATCACTGCCTGTATATTCGATCGATAGCGCTGTCGATAATATATAGGACGTAAACGCTTACAGAGGGCAAAGGCATTCGAGCAAAGGCCGTATAACTGATCACATTTTTTTAACTGCGAAGTCTTCTTTGTTGTATTGTTAATTAAGAAGAATTAAAGTTTATTGATTTCAAGGATCAGAATCGATTCATTTATCAAGCTTGTACATAGTCCGTAGAGCCGAATATTTTACCGGTAGAGTTCAATTGTGCGTGAATTCGATGATATCCTGCCGGGATTTAGAAGTTGCGTTTGTGGCAAGGCGAACGATCAAAGTGAAAAACAAGCAACATGACTGAAGACTGGAATGACATACGAAAAAGGAGACGATATGTAAAAGTCAAGCAAACAAATATTCGTAGATTCACGGAAAACGTGCTCAGCAAACGTAGTAGCTACTAATGTGGAGACGCTTATATACAATATATGCAGACAAGTTAGAGAAAAACTATCGGGAGTTCGAAGAATTACAGAAGCAATTATTGAGTGCCGTCGAGAAAGATGAACTTCCTGCGGATGATCAGCGAGAGGAGCATGAGTTCGATGGTCAATATATCGAGCTCAAGGCATTTTTTAGCAAGACTATTGCGAAGTTGGAACCGGCGGCAATCACGGCAACGACTGCAAGTGCGAGCGACTCAATTGCGCGTGCGCTCGAGTAACAAACCGAATTAATTAGAAGTTCCTTGAGTTTTGCGAGCACGCCACGCGTCTCTCCTGTTGAAACTAAGGTCAAATTGCCGACTATCACATTGCCGAGTTTTTCGGGTGAACTGCAGGACTGGAAACGGTTTTTCTTCACGACCTTGATTCACAACAGTGAGTTATCAGCGGTCGAAAAACATCAATATTTGGTTGGTGCGTTGTCGGGAAGCACCGCAAGGGATGACCCTTAGTTTGACCTTAGTTTCAACAGGAGAGACGCGTGGCGTGCTCGCAAAACTCAAGGAACTTCTAATTAATTCGGTTTGTTACTCGAGCGCACGCGCAATTGAGTCGCTCGCACTTGCAGTCGTTGCCGTGATTGCCGCCGGTTCCAACTTCGCAATAGTCTTGCTAAAAAATGCCTTGAGCTCGATATATTGACCATCGAACTCATGCTCCTCTATGAAGAGTCTGTAGAGATATCACCATCAAATTACAAATTGGCATGGACGCTGTTGAAAGGNCGTTACGAGAAAGCATTAACAAAAGAGCATTAAAGCGACATGTGCAGTGTCCATTTGAAACACTCAAGGTTAAACGAGAGTCGGCGGTTGCAATTCAGGATTTAATTAATCACTTTTGCAAACATTTGCGAATTGTAAAATCGGGAGACTGCCGTGGGGAGATTCTTTGGTGCTTCACATGATGGAANAAATGTTGGACCGGACTACTCGTCGTCATTGGGAGGAGAGCATGGAGAGTAAGAAAAACGTCTCGGTGACTCATTATGTGTATTTTTGCAGCGACGAATTCAAATGCTTGAGCGATTGGCCAAATCAAGGAATCAGGAATTCAGATTCCAAGAAAAGCGGACCTAAAACCGGAAAAACTGGTATAGTGCCAACACGAGGACACTGAGGAACAGGCCAGAAAATACATCGGTCAGTCTAGCTACACTATCAGCTGCAGGACGCTGCTACGCGTGCAAGGGAGCTCACTTCATATACTCATGTGAGAAATTTTTGCGTCTTTCAATATCGGAGCGCGTTAAGTTAATAAAGCAACTGAANCTTTGTTACAATTGTTTAAAAACCGATCATTTTGTTGGTACATGTAAAGCGAGTTCTTGCAGAGTGTGTTTGGAAAGACACAACACTTTGTGTCATGCGGAAAAAAGGAATTCAAACGTTGAGATCCCTGCGGTTTCCAAGGCTAAATCCGTTGCGGAGGAAATTGTTCGGAATTCGAGCGTCAATCTGTCCGTACATCATATTTCTGGACGCACGCGCGTTGGTCTAATGTCAACAGCATTAGTAAATATTAAAAATTCTAGCGGATTCAGTCAACTTATTTGTGTATTACTCAATAGTGCTAGCGAAGCAAATTTTATAACCAGCACAGCTTGCGCTTAATTGAATATTAAACCAATTAAGATCCAGGAAGAAATTACTAAAATCAATAGTTTAGCATGCACAATTACTCGAGGTTGTCGCATTACAGTAGAGTTGCGAGTAACGGATTATCGGTTGTCCGCGTTTTGTTTAGTTGTGCCACGGATCACCCAAAATTTGTTTTTTACCGCTATTGATGCAAGGGATTTTGCTATAACAGACACTGTTAAATTAGTCGATCCAAAATATTTTCACTCCAGTCAAGTCGATATGTTTCTCAATATGTTGCTTGTAGTGAATTTTTCTTAAGTCTACTAACGCCTCCAAAGATCGAGCTTGGAGTTGACATGCCAATGTTACAAAATACAAGGTTCGGTTAGATTATTTTTGGTCCAATCCCGATTCAAAGCGTTACTCCTCACAATTCAAATCTCGCAGTTTGCCTGAGCACGCAGTCTTCATTAAACAAGTTTATGGCAAAATTTTAAGAAATTGAAACTCCTCAGGACCTAGCCTCTCACCTTGTCCAAATTGATTCTAAATTATTGCAGAACTAGGAGCTATTTATGAGCGTTTGAACCCACCAAGTTAAAAATTTTAAGCTCGTTTAGCGGAGCAAAAATTCCAAGTTTTTAGTGAAGGGGCTGCGTCTCTTTGGACTGCGCCCCTCATCACTTAAAACTGCAGATATTGAATTGCTCTTTACGCCAGAATTATGAGCTCTTAAATAACTCTACTTTAGATTTTTGAGCCGCAACCCCTAGGATGCAAAACTATCCCGAAAATATTTTTGCAAGAGAGAATCTACACATTCCTATACACAAAAGAACGACTAGCTACGGAAATATAACAAGAAGAAGAACACTTACAATTACAAAAATACACACATTACGACCTATACACATCGACACCGGAGAAAAACTTTCACTTTTTACCCCAACTTAGAAGAGAGAAGTACTCTAAAAATAAAACAAATGGCTTACCCTGACGAAAATAAGAAACTTTACGAGCGTTGATAACCGTTTAATAAGAATTTTCTGAGAGTTTATACACTTTCAAACTTTATAAAAATGCTTATATAACGTCAAAAGGTTTGAACTCTTTTAGAACGTTTATCAAACGCTATATATACTGTTTTCTAAACATTCTGCAATGCTAAGGTAACGCTTTTAACAAAACGCTCAGTAAATACTGATAAAGTTTCGTATACAGAGTTTGCTGACAGACTTTTCAAACGGTTAGCAAATGCTTTTATGAGTAAATACTAAATAATATTAAAAACTACACATTGAAAGTCAGTTCGTTTATTATAACTCACTTTATTGTAAGAATAAGAAGACTATTGATATATATATATTACATATATTTAATATATTGAATTATGTAAGTATATTGCGATTAATTTTATGTAATAGTTTTATATACTAACTTTATGTGTACTTTAATATATTATATTTAATATATTACATTATTTAATATAATTNCTAATTAGTATATATTTTTACATTTAAAAATAGCAGTCAGTAATTGCGTAGCAAGTGATACTTTTGCATACAAAAATTTTTCGTATAAATTTAAGAATTGAAGTCCAGATTAACAATTATTAAACACTTACAAACGCTTACAAGTTTATACACAAAGAGAACGGTTTCTTTAAATTTAATAATCCGATTTGTTTGACTCATATTTGGTGTATTCAAATAACATAATTTTATACCAAACAACAATTTTGTTGAATGATACTTTGTATTGTTACATTATAGTAAATCATAATATAAACAAAATAATATAAGTGCTTGAAATAATTTATTTCACCAAAATAATGTTTTATTAGGTTTTTTTCTTTATTAAATATACCATTATTTAATTAAAAAATCAATTTTTAACATAAATGTAACAGACTATATTTGAACAATTAAAGAATCTCTTCAGGCTCTGAAGTTTCTAAACTAATAAATATATATATACGGTCATAGGAGCCGTTTGCTAGGTGTTGTGCGGAAATTATATGTGTATATATATCCATATATATACGTGTACACATGTAAATTTTTACACGTGAAATTCGAATTAAAATAACAATTCTAAAATTCATATTGGATGCTATACTTGCATCTCGTATATGAGAAATCCCAAATAC